GGTTGGGGGGGGGGGCGGAGAGGGGAAGGGAAGTCAATGGAAAGGGGGAAAAAAGAAACAAAGGGAGGAAAGAAAAGAAGTTTAAAGAACCCTTCTCTCCCATCTCCTGTTTGCACATCCCCTCCTCCTCCTTTTCGAAAGCCCAGCGGCTTCAATTGATAAAAGGTCCATGAAATATCCAGATCATTGATTCAACGATATCGCTGTGCATTGCGGGGAAAGATGTTATCGGCAGCCCCTTATTCCGAAAAGAGACGCACAAGAACATCATGATGAGGTGGACAGGAGTTACCCTTGGGTTTAAGGCTTTAAGCGAAGATCTTTTTTTTTCTTTTTCATTTTTTATTAAATTTTTAATTCTCTTTTTTTTTTTTTTTTGGGCGAAGATATTTTTCTATTTCCACAGCCATTTGCTTTATAGACGAAGTCGAAACAATATGCCCTCCTGCTTGTCCTCTTTGTCTTTGCGCTGCTGCTGCTGCCCGTCAGGCGGACCGGCTTGTCAGATTGCAGCTGCGTTTGCCGGCCCGCAGATGTGCTCACCACCACTGCAATTGTTCTTTTAGTCTGAATGTGGACGTTTTTGCGACTTTGCACACTGCAAAAGTGTTCTTGGCAGACGGCAGCTGCTGGCTTGTCAGACTGCAGGTGGTGTGGGACAGGCAGTCTGACAACCCAGCAACTGCCGTCTGCCGACAACAACACCTGCAGTCTGACAAGCTGCAGGTGTCAGACTGCAGGTGTCGTTACGAATTCCGTTTGTCGTGTGCCTGTGGCTTGTCATGCATGCATGCCTTCGTTCTGCGAAACTTGTTTTCAGTCTCTGCCAGCCAGGCCTACCTGCCCTCATTGTGTGAGACCAGTGCGGCAACAAACGTGGTAATCATGCTTGGCTTGATCACACCGTGAACGCTTAAACCACCATAAGTACTTCGTAAAGTCATGCCCGTTAGTTAACACGCCACGATTTTAGGAAACGTACTGGCCTCTACCGGAGCGCCCAAATTCATCCAACTAGAAACGTTTCTACTCTAAATTTTTTTTGCGTGGCCGAGAGCTCGGCCATGTACTCGTGGTTTAACGTTTGATGTGTGCCACGTAACTCGCGCTAAGTTTTATTCGATCCAAGTATCTCCAGCGCGTATGCGACTGAGGCATGAACTTGTCTTGGGACAAGAGCGTTGGGAGAAATACATGGGTCTTGTTGCCAGAGTCTAGATACGTTCATCCGGTTGAAGTGATGGTGCCTTTTT